GGGGGGGTGATGAGAGCGTCATTGGGTGCTAAGAGCGTATGAAGGGGTGCGGGGGTGGGAGAACTGAGACGGAGCGGGTGGCACTGTGCCAGGCAGTGCCCGTCTGGCTGCTAAATACCTTTGTTTCCTTGCACGCCAGCTTTGGTGCAAAAAAAGCAGGTAAAAAAAACGATGCAATTTTTAGGGTTTTCCAAAGAGTATCGCTCAATTTCAATTCAAATAAAACTGCTATAGCTCAAATAACGACAAAAAAATAGATCTCATGTTTCCCAAGCAACACAAAAATTCCCATCCCGGCAAAATAAAAAAATGTGTGGTGTAGCCCATTAGATGAGAATGGCGAATGAAAGGAAGCCGTCCACCCCCACAGCACCGAGCTGACTGTATCATGCAAATCAAGCCCGAGGATGCAGAATATCACAATGTTTCTGCAAGGGATGCTGCGAGACACATCTCCACATGCAGCAAAACAGCTCTGAGAGAATTAAACATCATTCAGAGCTATTATTACACCTCATCCCTCTGGAAAAGCTTTGCACATCTCTCACACACACATTTTGGTAATGCTATTTTTCTTCTCCCAAGATCAGACAGGAGATGCTACACGTATGCAGGGAATACATGCAAACACACATGGGCATACAACAGCGCGGCATTCTCTGAAAAGAGACGATGGGATTGTGTTGTGTATGAAGAAATTCTGCCGGTGAAAGGAAATAAAAAGGTTTGGAAAATTAGAGCCCCCCCCTCTTCTCGTCCAATCCGAATACATATTCATAAAGAGCTGCTTCCAGGGCGCCATCGCCGCTCGGGTAAGAAATGTCTCTTTGTCGCTTCGTGATAATTCATTTTCCTGAGTGTTAAAAAAAAGGACATGCAAGGTTTGGGTGTCACCCCATATTAAGTCGTGACAGTAGACACACACACACACCTGCTATAGCTGCTTCAGTATACATGCAGCAAACCTCAGTATGCATGCTTCTATTACATCAGTCAGAAATGCACACACACACACACACACACACGCACACACACGCACACACACACATGCTAAAATAAAAACAACAAGCCTCGGCTCTCACTGATGACCGAACGTTAGTGAACGCTGCTCCTCACAAGTCCTCTTAAAAAACGATCAGTGTCACACTCGCAGCTGAACTCCAGAAAGGCGCTTTGATGATAATTATGATCATGACAGATCGTCAAGTTCCAGATAATATGTGATTTAAAAAAAAATGAGGAAGGGGGAAAAAAAAACAATAAGGAAAAAAAGGCTTAAATTGCTGGGGTCTTTGTTAAGCCACTCATTTGGGTCACATTTTGGCACAGAAAATTGCAGGCGGCTCACATGCCAGACAATCGCACACAGTGTAATTGATTCAATATTAATTGGATGCCCCTGATTTACATTGACTGCTACAGCCATATGCATAGCAGAGAGGGAGAGAGTGACAAAATGGGCGAGCAAGCGAGCGGGAGAGTTAGAGGCATTAAAAACCCACCCAGCAAAGGCCATTTAAAAAACAATTATCTGTATTGAGGTCCGTTCTGCATGGTGGCAGTGTTAGTCCGATCTAATCTGCCGATTTATTGGAGAGCAGTCATAATTTCTGAAGGGCTGCCATAGCGAAAGAAAGAGTGCTGAAAAGCGTTTGATGAAAGAAAAAAAAGTTCAGAGCTCCAAATGGCCACATATCACGAGCCAAAGCGAATTCAATCTGTTCCATCTACGTGTTTTTGGACGACGTGTTGAGAAACAGAAGATCATAGGATGTTACTCTGCATATTTTTTACATTTCATCATCTCGCATTGAGAAGCAAACGACATGACACAGATACTTTTAATAAAGATAGTTTTGTGGCAACCGGTCTAATTTAGGCCCTTTTCAAAAAAAAAGTCTCATTTGGGGGATTAAAAATAAAATGAATTAATTATATCTGCATCAAATAACAAATTGATGGAGGAGAGGGTCTCAGTCCTTCCAAGCAGAGCCCCACACCAGGACACATTGAGCTATTTGAGGTAATACACACAGTGTGTGCATGTGTGCGTGTGTGCGTGTGTGTGTGTGTTGCCACTTTCTGTGCTCACACAGCAAGTCCATTCCTCTCTGGCAGGTACTGTTTTTCCTCACAGTGAGCTGCTCTATATGGAAATGGAGTTGTTACATCACACATACCAATTTCCTTATTTGGTTTTCTGAACTGCAGCCTAATAATGCCTTCTAAAACATTTAAAATTCAAATAAAATTAATTAATTAATTAATATACACTACCGGTCAAAAGATTGGGGTCAGTTTTTATTATTATTATTATTATTATTATTATTATTATTATTATTATTATTATTATTATCATTAATAATAATAATAATAATAATAATAATAAATTTTATTTAATCATTAAAATGAAATTATTCTATTAATCAAGGTGACTTTTATTAAACGTAAAAAAATAAAGTTCAATACTTATTTATTAAATATTTATTTATTTATTTATTTATTTATCATTTTTCTTATTTAATTATTTTTTTTTTTTTATTTATTACTAGTTTCAAATGAAACTTTTACTCCAATCATTATTGCTTCTATTACTATTACCATTAATAATAATAATAATAATAATAATAATAATAATAATAATAATAATAATAACAATAATAATTAATATTAGAGTGATTTCTGAAGGCTCAAGTGACTCAAGACTGGAGTAAAGCTGAAGATAACAATTCATCATTAAAATCACTGCAATAAAATAATAAATTATAAACTACTTTTAAACAGTTATTTTATAGTGCAATAACATTTCACAATTTTACATTTTCTATTGTATTTTTGACTAAATAGATGAAGCCTTGCTGAGCAGGAGAAGCTTATTTTCAAACATTTAAAAGTTCTACTGACCCCAAACTTTTTAATGTAAATGATATCTTAAAATGTATAATAAAATGCTGTGTAAAAAATAACACATATAACACATATAAACTGAATTTGAAACATTTTCCATTCAAAAAGAAATTAAATTAATAAAAAACAGGTAGAACAAACTTTAAAAAAGTTTGCCAGCTTTTTCTTAAAAGTGTTGAACTGCCACCTTTCCCTCACTCTTTCAAATGCAGTTTTGTCACATTCAAGTCCACCTCTAACCCAGGTACAAACACACTCACGCACTCTCAAAGTGTTCTAGTTTACATATTCATGGTAAGCTGCAGTCATAACTAACCTTGAATATGTTATGTCTGAAATCGTCTATAATATGGCTAATTAATATCTCTTCCCTGTCTGACCTGACACGGCAGCAGATTCAGTAACATGCTGAGAAGCTGTTATGGTCCTACCCACAAAATTGTTTTAAAAAAATAATAATAACAAGCACACATAATACCAGTGACCCAACGCTATCAGCTGAACCCTGATACATTATGATGTAAATGAGTTTAATAACCCAGTTTAGCGGCTGACAGAAACAAGAGACGTGCGCGATAGCCGGCTCGCACAAAGGTTGTATAATTTGTGCTGAAACTGCATCAACATGCTTAAAACAAAGAGGGCAAGCAGACGCAAATGACCCCGTTCAGCCTCCATATCTGATCAAATTTAGTTCCACTGTACGTTTAATACATGAACACAGACTAGGAGGATTCGAAATATGTGAGAGGGAACTGTTGGAAAACAACTTGATACTTGAACTGAGCCGGCGATAATTAGCCTGGAGCAAAGGGTCAAGTCCAAATGACTGTTGATGGGGCTAACCGGACCCAGACGCTTCCTGGAACCTGATCTTTGAGGCAGACCAGAGAATGGCCAAACGTAAAGCCAGGCCAGAAAAACAGACTGGAAAGACTCACTCTCACATTTTCTGCACTTAAAAAAAAAACAGCCACTCTAAATCGCCTCACCAGCCCAAGACACACTCATGGACGCATAATAGCACAGTGACAACTTAAAGCAGTTCAATTCACTTAACGCTCAGCTTAAGGGAGATTAGACTTATGCTACAACCAAATCCTGTTTTCTTTATTTTAAGTTGAAAATAAGGGACTTCCTTCTTTTATGACTGTATTTTCCCTGTTTTATATAGTGCAGAAAGTCAACCGCTAATTAAAACGCACATCCACAAAACTAAAACAAATAATTAGCGTCGTATTATTGTTCCCTGACAAACCAAAATAACCAAACGGCCTTCCATTTCCTTTGCTTTTTTCGACAGAAAGTGAAAATGTGCAGGCGTGCATTTGTACGGATAAGATGTGGCTGTGCAAGAACCCACAACGAAATCAAGATACATCTGTCGAGACCACATGAGAGAGGCTGTGCAGCTCAGAAAGGCATTTCCCATGAGCCTGTGGACACACACCGAGGAGGATGGCCTCTCTTGTCACAGCAAGGACTCCTCGAACCGCCCCTCCAGTGCCAAAATTTCCCCCCTCTCAATCCTTCTATTTTTCACCCCGTAGAGACGAGCAGCCTGCTGTGTCGTAAAGAACACACCCTTTGCGCTGCAACTTTTAAGGCAAAGTCTACCACTTTAGGCCTCATTTGATAAATGTGGCAAGCGAACGACAAGTTACCAGAGAAAAAGGACTGAGAAGTGCAAATGTGCTAAACCGAAGCGTACAGCCAGTGGTGGCAATGTGTGATCTACGGTTCGAATCTGAGCTTAATTATCCAAATCCCAACTCAAGGAGATTCTTGCTTCCAAGCAGCGCTGATCTTGAGATAATAAATCAGATTTCAAATGTTTGTTGCTCTATGAAGTCATGCCATTCCTCTTTTGGTCTTCGTTATGGCTTCTCACTCTGAGGTTTGACAGAAAAAACCCCCTTCCCCTTCCTATGCCACAGCTCTTAAATATTCAGCACTCTTCATACGTCTCCAAGACGCCCCATGGAGAAAGGACATGTGTCTACGATATGTGGCCCACACAACAACTCTGCTTCACCACAAACAGATACACACAGGCTATAATATGAAAGAGAAATCACGTTGGGTGAGGTTACCTGTAATGTTTTCCTGTTTGGGACAGATTCCTCGAGAAGACGTCGATAAGCAGTCATCGTCCTCCGGCGTGACCTGGACGCCCACTTCCACCGGGTTGGAGGCTCTCCTCAGCTCACCGTGCGAGGGCGAGGGGGGCTTATCCACTGCTTTGTCCATGCACAAAGTGCCATTGCACTGCTTCCTTTTGTGCTCAATGAAAATAAGGATGTCTCCCAAAGGGAAGTTCATCTGACACTGGCCACAGGTGAGCAGGTCCTGGTCTCCCTCTGGAGCTACCTGTACCAGCCCGCGCTGTTCCTGCCTCTCCTCCGAGACCACGGCTGACAGGGGCTCGGCTGCACGCAGGAAGAATCCATATGCGACACAGAGGGAATGAAAAGCAGAGAGAATATTAGAGACTGGGTGTAGTAATGAACGCAGACAAGATGAGGGAGCACAAAAAATATTTTACAAATCAAACTTCAGTTTTTAATTTCAGAATCATAAAGGTGATTACCTCAGAAATTGTAAAAAAAAAATAATAATAATAATTTAAGCATAAAATAATTTACAAAATAAACATTTTGTAAAAACAAAACTTCACAATCATAAAAATATGAATCCTTAAAAGTTCATGACATCTTGATTCATGATAATATAACACTAAAATGAACATAAGTTATATCTGTTTTGGTTTTTAAAACTACATCTCAGACTGACTGTTTCACTCAACCACACACACACACACACACACACATCTGGATTATGACTGCATGTACAACACGTGTAGATATCCAGCAAAACCAAAACAGTCACAGCAGCATCAATACATGCTTCACACTTGGAGTAAAAGTACTGATACCTTTTTCCATTCTCAATAAAGTTAGCTATACAGTCCACACACAGACACACACACACACACACAGGTATTTATAACGGCTGTTTAGCGAAATCTTTCGCGCGGAGGTTACACTAGCTTGCTAATGGTTAAGAATCTTGACCTTCTTTATAAGCTGCCAATTTCATGCTTTAATGAACCTAAAACCACTGAGAATCAAAAAATAGATTTTAATTTTAGTGGGTGATGATTGGTACAGATTTTGATAATAATAAAAAAGGTGTTGGGATCACGAGCAGGGCGGTTAAATTTACCTCAGCCCAGTCTGGGGCAGATACTGAGGGGCAGATGTGAAGTATCTCCCAGACGTGGTTATGAGTAAAATATTCGACACGTTTGCACATGAAATAACAAAGACGAAACGTGATCAATTACCCTTAAATATGAGCGAATGTTTTCCGTTTTTACATTGTATTATTGTGCGTAATTGCTTGCATTTCTAATAGGAGCAATTTAAAGTGAAGTTAAACGTTTTTGTATCTGGTTCCAAGATACACAGATTGATATTGATTCGTATTAAATTCGTAATGATACCAGATGTAGAACGTCCAGTAATGTGTGATTTTGTGATAAAAACAGAGATAATCGACATATTTGCAAAAACTTGAGTCATAATTTAATAACACCCAGCGAGTACATATAGTTGCTTAATAGATATTTCAGCTTCAATAAAATGTAACATTAATACAATAGCTTAATACAACATTTAAAGTTATGCGTTATTCTACAATCGGTAATGGCATTTAAAGATTTCCGTGCATATGCATATTTTTAAATATTATTATATATACTTCACAGACTACGATTGACCTTGCATAAATAAACTAGGATTCCATGAATGTGTTTTGAAGGAATATTCAACCATTTTAAAACAAATTAAGCCAACTCAAAATTTGTGGAAAGTGTGGAAAACTGTATTAAACTGAGTTTTCACAATAGTTTTAAATTACATTACCTGCATATGCATTTCAAATTAAATCAGTTCTTAAACTAAAAAATATTTAAAGACTTAAAAACAATTAATTTGTCTAAAATTCAAAAGCATCTTATTACAAAAAAAAGATTTAGTATTAGCTTCTCTGTGTATGAAATTCAAAGGGGTTTTGAATAAATTCATTAAAAAAGTTTGTAGGCTCGCTTGTTGTTTCTTTGCTTTAAAAATAACCGTCTTCTGTGTAATTATAAATTGGATGGCAAAGTTTATCAAGATCGATACTGGCTCTGTTTGCATTACCTGAAAGTCATGTTAGTTTTCTAGATCCATTACAAAATATACAAGACATTTTTTTAAAAATCCTATAATTCATGCCAGTTCAGGACGGGGTAAAAAAAAAACTGTTACAAGTTCATATACAATACGTTTCGCTCTTGCAAACATATGGTCAAATATAGATAGTGCTGAAACTGATCGGGTTCGAGTCTAGTTTATGATCGTCGTGTGCCCCCTAGCGGTGGATTTCGGACACGTGCAGCAGCGAAAGCGCAGAGTAACCCGCGCTGAGATCCACAGCCTGTGTGTGGAAACCCAATAATGTTACACGATACTTTACAATGTTACAACAACTCAGGATTTGTGTCAAACACGTTTATCTATTAAAACGCGGACTAATGCTTTTGAAGATTTACGTTTCAGACATCAAAACTAAAACATCAAAAAGATAGAAGCTAAATGGTTGTGTCGTCGAGCTCCTGACAACATTTCAGGTTCATATAATCTGAAGCATACTTTATTTAGAAAAATGCAACTTATCACAGTCCTTCAAAGCACGTTTAGTGTGTCAACTAACATGATCTCTGGAAGAACAGTAGGTTAGTGTGTTACGAATATATGCATAAAAAGCCTGGTTTTCTCGATACATTTGTATCCAAATAGTTGCATTATATTTAGGTTTCGTCTTACCTTTGTCAACGACATTTAAGACGAAAATCAGGCCTAAATAGAAATCGTATTTCTCTCCTTGCAAATGTACTCGAAACGGCAAAGAGCGTAACGTAAAATACTCTTCTACTGCTTTTCAGCGAAAGCCCACAAATACTGCACAACCGCGTTTTGCTTCAAACGTTAGAAAAGCGTTAATGTGTAAAACTCGAAACGATATTAGGCTATATGCAGATGTCTTACTCTGCGCTGTTAGTCTCAGGCAGAAGACTATCGTGCTCTATTTGCTGGCAGTGGGTAGTAAGCGCACGCGGCGCTTGTAAACAGTCGGACACGAGATTTTTCCCAATCAAAATTCGCTTCCACTCTTTGAAAATCTTCCAAAAATAGTGCGAGAGGGGGGAAATCCTGCCCAGAATCACAGACAGACAGCGTTGCGGGACACTCCACGAGATGTGAGAGTAAATAAGCAAGCGAAAGCACGCGTGCATATACCCACCACGGTCCGGTATATGTGAGCGTTTGCTCTTAAGTGGTCAAAGCGACTGGGGCACGAGAGCCAAGACATATGCGCCTAAACACAGAGTCGACACGAACTTCTCCAAGTACAGCGATGGAAGACAAACTTTTTGGCGATTCGGTGCGCGTAAAGGCATTCAAGAGATGGGAACGCTCTCTTCGCTAAAGTCCACTTGATCGGCGCTGCGCTGTCCAATGTCCAGTGTGTCTTCCCTGAGAATTACGCTCCTCTCCAGCAACTCAACGCTACACAACGCAGCCAAAAAACAGGTAAAGGCAACGGGCACAACATATATTTGTCTTTACTTACGCGAAAAATCCCGTTTGCTTAAGTGCTGGGGTTTGCCTTGCTTGCGGCGAGACATGGTGGTTGGTGGTGGCTTTCAGCTCGGTTCACATCGGGAGAGCCGGGTTAGAAAGGAGACTCCAGAGAAAATATCTTCATCAATGCCTTTGACATCCAAAATAAATTAGAAATAATACAAAGATGGCGCAGGGAAGATGGATTGTGGGATAGCCGTCATGGCTTTTTTGAAAAGAGAGAGAGAGAGATGAAAAAATGGCAAAAGCCCCCCTGAGCTGCAAGTTCAAGTGCGGACGTGACGTCCCTGCGAACTTGAACGTCAGGAGATGGATGGACACAGACATACAGAACATGGGCAGGGCAAAGCCGTGGAGTAGGAGGAGGGAGTGGAAATAACAAAACCAATGGACACTCATTAGGGGCTGGACATGAAAAATAGACCCGAAGAAGCCAATGGACAGAAAGATCAGGGGGCCGGACAAGAGGCGAGAAAGAGGGAGCGAGAGACAAGCACACACACAAGGAGAGAGAGAGGGGGAGATATGTTTAATGAAAGCAATGTGCGCTGCGGAGTGTGTGTGTGTGTGTGTGTGCGTCCGCGCGCGCTCGCGCTCTGGGGGTGGACGCAGGAAAACAGAGCACGAAAAGCCAATGGACAGGAGATTCAAGGGGGCCGGACGTGCTATATATACAAAGACAGTGAGAGAGGAGCCTCGCATTTAAGGTTTCGTAGTGGACACTGATGGTGTTTCAAACACACTGACTCAACTCCTGGTCAAACAGTCAAAGGTAGCGCGCAAGGTAGCTGCTTTTCAGCGAGACACGATCGGGTTGCATGAACAGGACAGACAGGTTCCGAGCCGGGGCATGTGCAGGGTTCAACCGCCGCGTGCGCTGCCACATTCCTCCAGCTCAGAGAAACTTAAGGCACATCACATAAAGCGGGATGGGATACTTGCTCGTGCGCTCTGCGCGCGATGTAGGTGGGACTTAAATACTACAAGAGTGTAATTGTAAAAATATAACAACACACTGACGAATAGATTGTGGGAGCAGCCCACTAGAAAGAAAGGGGACGGGGTAATAACTTTCAGATGTGTTCAGATTATAGAGAATGGCGACTGGGGGGAGGAGGGGGTGTCAGTAAACCGCCGCGTGGATTTAGAAATATAAAGATGCTGTAAACAGCGCTGATGCATTCGAAATTAAAGAGACATGAAGCGTATAACCGAACGCGATGACAAGCTAGTTCAATGCATGAGGTGGGAGGAAGAGAGAGACACCCCTGCGAACTAGTAGAAGTACAACTAGACTATAGCGACTACTCCAGAGAAAGCAGAGGCTGCGTGAACAAGTGACAGTCTGCGGGGAAAAGGCACAATTCAATAGGGAACCGATCGGAGTTGAAGCCGAATGCTGGAGATAATACGTGACCCGCGAGCGAGTGAGTGAAACTGCTTTGCAGGCTTATACGCTGACATCTTTGTTTCTGGACCAAGACTGATCGCTGTGTTGGTGCGCGTGTGTTTTTTTCCGACGCGAGGTGTCAGATCTTAACGCGAAAGTTGAGTCAGGTTTGTGCTGGGTAAAAAGGTCAACTTTGCGCGAGATCTATCTGGGAATACCAATGGATCCGCTCGACTGTACCACACTGACTGTGCCGATGCTTTTCAGGTCATTGTTCTCAACAAGTGCATATGATTAAAAGCACCGTATCGATCTGAATTTTGTATTTCCAGCCTTTGATATCATTTCGACGCAGCGCACTATTTTCAGCGTGCACAAAAGGAGCTAGATACATTTAGCACTTTTAAGAGTTCCGCGCATGAATGCCGTTTCAGAAATAATGTGTTGCTTTAAGAAAAGAACAATATTCAATATAAAACAAGAAACAGTTCTTATGTTAAGTTTAGATATGCTAATTGAACTGGTTTCTTTAAAACACAAGCACAGGCGGTTTGTGGATGATAAAAAGTAACTAAAGAAAATTCTCAGTCAGTAAACACTTCTGGGCTTTAAAGTGGGACTTTTTACTTTTTAATGTCCACGAACTTGTTTAAGGAATTCTTGACAGAGATTGTGCTTTCTGTGTTATGTATCCCACAGAAAGACTTCATTGTTAAACTTTGTTCGATACATCACCGTGTAGGCTACCTAAAATACAAGTTTGCCGAAATAACCTAAAAGTTATAGTTCGAAATAACCCTTCGGGTTTGCTGTAGTCTGAATGTTTAATTAAACATTTGAAACCCTTTTAAATCCGAAAGCATTATTCCCCACGAGTAAACAGCAAATATTACCGAGGTTAGGGCGCAACGTGCGCAAATATCTTCTGCTTTAGGAGCTGGACAAATTTGGGGACGTTTACGCATTTCAGCAGCACTAACCATGGCACCTGCCCACTCAGGCCATTGGCTGATGGACCGCCTTTTTTCCACATTTTTTTTTACTTTCATGAAACTCTCTCTTGCTCCTAGGCGAACATTGATCAGACCAAACGGAGCGTTTACACCTCCTTCAGGAATGGAAGCTATCAGGCAGCAACAAAACGCCGCGTACAAACAGAATCTCAATATGTAAATGACAATGCGACTGATCCCATCATAAATCAGCCAGACGTTAAATGCATTGCAATATCCATCTCTCCAATGCACGGTCAGGCGCGCTCGCTCGTACAGAAAAAGTGCTTTTGTGTGAGAGAATGACAGAGGGAGCGATTGGAAATGAGAGTGAGTGGAAAGTGCGATGACAGATTCATGCTTAAAATAACGTTTTAGTTCAGTGCGTCAGGCCCTGTGGATGACACAAAAACCAGATTACCAAACCTACATAATAAAAATGTTAGTAGGTTTTCACTATTGGATATTATACCGGGGGTGAGGGGATTAATATTGGTACATGGGTCAGGTGAAAAGCAAGACAGTTAAATGTCTTTTGGTCATGTGTCTGCCTTCCACGGGTAGTGGCTCAAGGAAATTGACTGACTGGCCCCTTGGGCACATTTTAATATATGGAAATGACCGAGGGCTTATGCGATAAATCAACGCCCTACGCCCTGTTCATGCTTCACTCCTCTCATTTTCCCACTAGCTCTGGCAATTCATCAGCAGATCTGTTTTCCTGCAACTGTTGTCCAGCGCTGATGTCACGTTTAAAGAGAGGCTTTTAGCATTTACTAGCACCCGTCGCGTGCAGTTAGTGTGTGTGTGTGGGCCAGTGTTTTCATTTATTTTTCTATATTATCAACTTTAATGAATTTGCAAATTCTCATTGTGAGTAATTTTGGTTATAATTTCTTTATTATTTTTTAGTTTTCCACGTCTATTCCAATTTTAAACGTGACATATTTAAAGCAATGTTCTTTTATACTTTTAGGATTTTGTTATTTTCATTATTTTTACCAAATATGTTAAACTTTTTGATTAATGCCTTCATCGTCACTCATCATTGAGCATTTTATGGATCAACAAAATGTTTTGTAAACACGACTAATTGTGTTAATTAGTGCTAAAAAACTACTCTGCAAAACAGTAAAAACAAATCTTATATAGCCTATACTCGATTATTTATTTAGATTCCCTTTGCTATTTTTAATATATGCATTTGTCATTACGTGTGTCTTTTAATAAAAACAAATTTCATACAATAAAGTTTTTTTTAAACCTACAGTGCGAATATGTGAGATACGTTCTACTGGTTTAATCCAAACCCAGAGCCATGGCAGACAGAAATAAAAAAAAATAAATAAATAAACCAAAAATGCTAGATATGTATATGCCCCGTTTTGTTTTCCATATATGCATATTATATGATGTAAATACTGGTTCACAAAGATATTTATGGATAGTTTTGAATGAAGGCATGCACTGGCCCTCCTGCATGAAATTATTCGGCTTCCTTGCCTTGTTCGTAGTTAAATTAAAATGGCATGTATCTCTCAGCTACGGTTGTAATCGTGATATTATCCTCTTACGCGTTCCTCTGGGACAGGCTCTGCGAATAGCTTTTGAGTAATTAACCATGTAAAATGTCACTATAGGAAAATTGAGCATTATTAACGAAATTATTTTATCTAAGAACAGTTTGCAAAACATGCTTCATTCGAACACAAAACCTCCAATAGAAAGAACAAAAAAAAACTCATAGAGGATGCCAGTGCAAACATTTCTTCACTTTGTCCAAAATATCGCAAAGCCATAATTTGACATATAAACCAACCTGGCAGTATTATATGTAGGCCTCGTCGTGTTGACTGAGAGATACTTTGACCACCTTAAATCTACAGATACCACAAAATACAAGTTTTACCTCAAAGGACGGAGAAAGGCGAAATGGGAATGCTCTTAAAATCCCTGGTAAGTCAAGCTTTGCCTGCTTTAAGGAATTTTAAGCTTCGGCAGTTCAGACACATTCGCAGACTGAAAATTAATATTAATGGCTAGATTTCACAATGTGGCATTATCACACTGAGCGATGGGTGGGCATGCCATCTGGGTTTTGGCAGGTATTAGATATAATCAAAGGGATTACGACTCTGTGGGCGAAATTATAAACGTGAGTACTGCTTCTTTCACAAAAGCAACGGCATGTGAGCGAGTTAAAGAGGAGAATAAGAGGAGAGACTGAGGAAATCAGATTACCTGAGAGAGCGGACTACACATGTGGTGACTCTGCGAGATATATCATTATAAAAACGTTTTATACGAACATAATACACATCCTTAACTTTGCGTAAACGTTATTGTAAAGTAAACCAGGTGGTGTTGTTTATGCTGTAGTAACTGTTATTATTAGCCAACATTATGTTGATTAATGGATGCAACTGAGCCTGTCGTTTAACTTTTCGTTCATTTGCATGTTCTTGCAACCTGATGTTCCTTTAGAGAGGATGCTAAAGTGATAACACAACAGAAAATAAACCTAGAGAATACACATAAATGTCTACTATCAGTGGGGATAATGTACACAGAGGCCTATAAGTAAACTATACGTCAAATCACAGTTTCTCAAAGTCTTTTCATCACGTTTGAGTCCGGCCAATGATATAAATTGCAACCATATCTATTTTTTATGATAAACTTAACCTTTTGCGTAATTATTTAGAAATGGCTTTGAAGAAAAACAAGTATTAAAGACCATTTAAGTTTAATTTGTTTGGTTAAATTG